TTTTTTTTTTTGAACTGTCAGGATGCATAGAGGCAAACAGTAGAGGATCCCCCCCCAAAAAAAAAAATAAAAAAAATGATTTTTTTTTTTTTTAATTTTAACTGTCATATATGTGGAAGGCTGCATGGAGGCAAACAGTAGAGGATCCCAAAAAAAGCAAAAAAAAAAAAGGTAGAGGCGGCCCTAATGTCAAAACCGTCCTGTCACAAGCAGACGAACTATTGTCCGAGCCCAAAAACAGCTGAATGGGCAGCAAACGAAAATGGCCCTGGGATAGGCCAAACCTTTTTCATTTTTTATTTTTATTTTTTTTTATGGGCATCCCCTGAGTGCAACTGGTATGTAACAAGCAGAATCCAGGCCCGAAAGATCTGAATTCTCAGCTGAAAAAAAAAAAAAAAAACGAATTCTCAGCTGTGAATTCATGGTAGCAAATGCAAAGGGGCCTCGGAACATACCACACCACACCGCATCTAATATGGGCTTTTTTAAGGGCCATTTGCCCATCATCTGTACCACAATATTTGTACTACTCGTACGTAGTATGATAACTGGCTACCCAACTCACCCAAGTCTCAAATTGAATTATCATGAAAAATAATCTCAAATTGTATATCATGAAAAAATCATTATCATGAAAAATAATCTCAAATTGTATATCATGAAAAATCATCAAATTAGGTAACAAAGTTTCCTTAATCATGCGACCGCTACCAAGCTCTCTTTATGTCACTTTCCCCATGACAGTGCATCATAACTCGACGTACATTCTCGGTCCCTAAGACAGCAAGCAAATCCTTTCTTTGCGCCTTAGCTTCCAGTAGTAGCTTAGCTTGGTATGGTCTTCACGGGATAGAGCGCCTGCTCATTACGGATGTAACTAGACTGAAAGTTGCCCCACATACAGGCATAATGACCGGGCGTTCTATTCGGGTGAATGCAGTAGTGCCTCAAATGACGAGCACACAACCAGAGACATGCAGAAACTACTAATTACAGTCTTCCCCCGAATACAACGTATGGTATTTTTAGCTGTATCTAGACTGAAAGATGCATCAAATACAGCTATAATGACCGTGCGTTGTATTCTCGGGACGACTGTAGTGCGTTGAAGACCCCCTCCTTGCCAAATTTGCTGGCTTGGATGGCATGAGTGTGGGCTCCTTGAGAGCAGCTGGAAGAAAAATTGGGAGTGTAACATGTTGCTTGGGGGAGTATATATGCCTGCAGTGTTGTGCATCCCAGCCATGAGCTCCTTGTCAGGCACTCGCTTCATCGCTTCACTAAGCAATGACGGGCTAATGGAGTCCGTGATTGCCTTCGCGCTGCTGACAGTCAGCTGAGATTTACCCCAGCAGCCGCTACTAGAACTAGAACTGCCCGAAGGAATAGTTCTCGTTCTATTTGCTGGATACTGCTGCCTTCACAGGCAGGTGTAGAAGCCATCGACAGTCGGCATATTGCAGGTGTAGAAGCCATCAACGGTGGGCATATCCGCACTGGTGGGGATATTGTCGTCAGATTCAATGGCGGTCCTCAGGAGACAAGCCAGTGGGCAGGCCAGACTGGCAGGACTAGCTAGAGGATGTGTGGGAGTGATTCTGCTTGCTTTCGTCTTGCAGTCCGCCGCAATTCGTACTGGTGAGAGTGAATCTGTGTCCAAGACAGCGACAACTCAGACTCCAGAAACAACGACTTACATCGGTAGCAGGCATCTCGGAGACTATCAGTACAATGACAAGACGTACGATCACAATAACATGGAGTATGACGAGAAGAAAGATGAGAAGAAGTACAACAACAAGTACGACAACAAGTACGAT